TTTTTCAGCTGTTTAGTCTCTTTCTGCTAAATTTGATAACTACCCTGAAAATTTGCAAGAGCCAAATGAAATGTCAGTCAAACAGCTGTGATCTGCTCAAACTGTGCATCCACAGCTGTCGGCGTCGCAGCAGGTAAAACGAGATTTTGACATTTAGTTGACGATTTAGTTGACATGTTGCATATCTCATGAGTGACTGTCACCTCAGTCCCAAAGGAGCAGCACTTCCCATTTCAGAGAGGTAGACATCTTATTTTAATATCATGTCACCAACTCTGTCCCTCATAGTTGTGCAGTCTATCAATCATACGTGGTGGTTAAAAACAGCAGCTTTTTCATAAGTCAAGGTAAAATAAAGCAGAAAGATTTAAACAAGGTTCTTTTTTTAATCAGAAATCAAATAATTAGAGCAATTAGAAGTTAGTTAAAAAACAAAGAGTGCTTTGTGTGATTTAAACAACCTCTTGTTTTCTACAATTTCTGATTATACATCTCGTTAAGCTATACAGGTCTAATATGCTGAATGCATTGTTACAATTTACAAATTTACGTACTGTACAGCAAAAAGAAAGAATTGTCTGAGCAACCTGATAGGTACAGTAGTTTTCACACTTTTTTCCATCTCAAGGATATTACCTAAAAATATATGCAATTTACATCTAATCAAAAATATTTCTGCACTCTAAAACTAATCACACTTCAGTCACTTCCCTCTGGCAGGAGGCTGCGGTCCATCAGGACCAGATCCTCCCGCCACAAAAACAGTTTTTTTCCCATCTGCTACCAGCCTTATCAACAAGGCCAAGAGCCGCCCTTGACACTGGACAATGTTTCTCTTCCCCATTCAGGATTTCTGCGTTACATTAACGCACAGTCTACTGTGTGTATATAGCCTCTGTGTATATATATATATATATATATATATATATATATATATATATATATATATATATATATATATATATATATATATATATATATATATATATATATATATATATATATATATATATATATATATATATATATTCTATCTTATTTTGTTTTTTGTCTGCACCAACAACACCAAGTCAAATTCCTTGTAAGTGCAAACCTACTTGGCAATGAACTTGATTCTGATTCTGACTTCAACCACATCTTTCTTTACAATAAACAGCATTTAGTGAGACTCTAGTCTGTTTCCAATTCATTCTTCATATGTTTTTCTTTCCATCAGAAACTTTAAATGCATAGCTCTGGCTTTTTAAGTCAGGATTCATTTAAACTAGTTGCAAGCTAACTAAAATGGTTAGTGGTGCAACAACATGAAAATATTAAGCTGTGATATCAAAGCGAAAATTTGCAGACTAATCTTATTTAAATAATCATAATTATTTCTAACTTTTGTTCCTGTTTTCCGTCATAATGATGTCCAAAATACAAACTTCTTGTTTCTACTTGTTCATAAAGATCTGTGGCATTAGAGGCAGCTAAACTGAATATAGCTGCATAAATTACTGGCATGGAGTTTGGATGGGGATTACCTGAAATACAGCAGAAGACATACTCAAGTCAAAAGCTACCTCAATAGTGGCCAAGGTGGATTCTAGCATCTTAGACCAACTCCAGTCATTTAACTCTCAACATGTTTGTACTAGATGGTTATTAACACACAGACCAATTATTATTTAGGCAGCAAATGGAGCTAGGGGGCGATGCTTCACCAGAAAGCTTCTGGCATTGTACAACAGTGAGAATGAAACATCGAAAATTTTTCTGGTCAAAATGACTATGACCAGGGGCGTGCATACATAGACACTAGGTGGTGCTAAAGCACTAGGAAGTTTGCCCTTTTTCAAAGAAAATGCCCTTTTGAAACTCTTTTTTTTTTAATTATTATTATTAATATATTAAGATTTTACTGAGGTCGGTTTTGAAATGATCTTTTGAAAACCTGAGCCATTAAAAACAACTGAAACAATGCCCCAATATGAGCCAGCAGCCGACCAGCCTACTGTATCTCTCTTCCTTTGTCACGTGACCTCCCTCGGTCGCCCGCAGGGCATGCAAGATGCGCCGCATCATAGCAGTCCAGTAAACGTCTTCAGATAGCAGGAACGGTCGCTGACAGGCTGCTTCTCCCGTGCCCCATTAGCCAGGTAATATACAGATCAAGCAGAATCATTTTGTTGTGCATTAAAATGTCTCATTCAGCAGCACCAAACAAGCATTTTTGCCGACTGGTCACCTGATAAACTAGTTGTCTCCTTGTAAGATGCTATTTTACTTTTTATATTTTATATCCATATTTTTATCTTAAGTGTATATATTAGTCTAATTTTATTGCATGCTGTATACCCACAGTTTTTAGATATTTTTATAATTTTTTTACCTATTCCATATATGTTTCATGTTGCACGATTGTACCATAAAAAATTCCTAGTTTGTGAACTCTTCACTAACAATGGCAATAAACCCGATTCTGAAAGTTTTACACTGTAGCCCAAATCAATGACAGATAACGTGAGGACGACCACATAGGCTACAAATAATTTCGGTAGAGTTTGCAATTGCAAATCTACGGAAGAGGATTAGGGCTACTGAAAAAAAAAAATAAGTTAACTGATTTTTAAATTTTATTTCAGTTTAGTATGGGAAAAAAGTCAGAATTCTGAGATTAAAGTCAGAATTCTGACTTTTTTTCTCATAATTCTGACTTTTTTTTCTCAGAATTCAGACTTTTTTCTCAGAATTCTGACTTTTTTCTCAGTATTCTGACTTTAATCTCAGAATTCTGACTGAATTCTGAGAAAAAAGTCAGAATTCTGACTTTTTAACCCTAACCCTTTAAATAAAATTAAAAAATCAGTCAACTTTTTTTTTTTCCAGTGGCCCTAATCCTTCTTGTTAAGACAAACGTTTTCTGTTGTATAGGTTTTGTTAGGCAACATAAATTAACACATTTTGGTCTCTTTATTGTCTTAATTGTATATTGATTTAGTAATTGCAGCACAAGGCCAAGAAAGGAGGGTTAATCGTATTGAAAAATCTTAAAAGCTGTTCACATTTTATTTTTAAGTGGTTTGTACAAAATCAGCAGGTATTAAAATAGCTATTATTTTGTAGGCTACCATAAGTCATATCCACGTGACAAGACTTCCAGTCATGTTGCCCTAATAGCCCATTATTTAAACTAATGTGGCATATTTGTTAAAGCTATTATTATTATTATTATTATTATTATTATTATTATTATTATTATTATTGTTATTGTCATGATGGTTATTATTATTATATTGTAGCCAGTCACAGCAGGGAAGCTCTATACTATCAACATCTACCAGGACAAGAGATGAGGAAGAGTTCAGGGAAGACACAGAGACAGAAAAAGACCAGGATGAGGGAGAACAGCAGGATGAGGGAGAGCAGATGGGTGAGGGAAAACAGGGAGATGAGCCAGATGAAAGAAGTACGCTTTAGTCTGTTCTGTTGGTGATGTGACTTTTTTCCATTGCAAACTCACGTTTAGAGAATGTTACAAATTAAAGTCAAATTTCATTCAACATGCGTGTGTATTTTTTTTTTATATAATTAAGTGTTCCACGTGCGCTAAAAAGTCCCCCCCCCCTCCTGAGCACCTGCCCCCCAAAATGTCTGTGCACTCCTCTGACTATGACAGTATCTAAAGCGACTTCAGTTCTGTTAAATTTTTCACATTTCCTAACTTATTCATTAATTATTTAATCAGAAGATAAAAGCTTTTTAGATATTCTCTTTGTTCACTATAAATTTAACACAGGAAATATATTGGCCACCAACTAGACACCAACTACACTCTCCATTTCCTTTGCTCTGTTCCAATACAACTGTTCTGTAAATCATTTGCTAGTTCTAACACACTGCAGAAAATTTTAAATCTAAGTGAAAATCTAAAATATAACTTGTTAAAATAACATATTTTGTCTTAAATTAAGCAGGTATGTGAGACTCTTTACCAATGGAATAAAACAATTTACATTTAAAATAAGAAAAAAAAATGCATTGTCTTATCTTATTTTAAAAGCAACGGTTATCATTCAATTGGCAGATCATATTATTTGCCTACTTCAATTACACTTATTTTAAATACTTCTTTTATATTTAGTTTGTGCAGTGAAGGTCAGCAGTATAGCTTTACAAACTTAAGTTAGCACAATTTACTTTAAAGGAATAGTACACCCAAAACATGATTAGCCTTCATTTTCTACTCACCCCCATGCTGAACAACACTCTGGAGTACTTTTTTGATATCTCAAATGCACCTGGAGATCTGGGAGGCTTCTTGCTGTCTGCTGACATTCAAATAATGGAGGTCTACGGTGCCCGAGACAGAAAGGTCCATAAAAGTCCACAAAAACGTGTCAATATTCCTCCATACTGCTCGTCCAATGTATTCCAAGTGTCCTGAGTGGGTAGCATCCAGAATTTACTCGAAATGAAGTCATTTAGAATGTTTTTAGAGCATAAACAGTAGTGTATAGGATTTCCTGAAAGCGCGCGCCGGCGCGTTTATGACGCTACGGAAGCCGGCAGACTAAACCAGATGAAAGTGCGCATTCGCGTCTGCTCTGCCGATAATGCAAGCGTAGCAGAAGAAATGTGCTGTTTACCTGTGCAAAGAAAGAAACAACGAAAGAAAAATGTCTGAGGACTTCAGTGTTGAGGAAGAGCATGAGTTCTTTGCCGAGCTGAATGCGCTGGTTTGGTCTGCCGGCTCCAGTAGGCTCGTGAACGTGCATGTGCACGCTTTCAGGACATTTGAATGTCAGCAGACAGCAAGAAGCCTCCCAGATCTCCAGATGCATTTGAGATATCAAAAAAGTACTCCAGAGTGTTGTTCAGCATGGAGGTGAGTAGAAAATGAAGGCTAATCATGTTTTCTTTCCATCTATTACATATCAATGTAAGGGCAATTTTCTTTAGATCTATGCATTAAAAGCAAATAAATAAAAATGTAAAACAACTACAAGATGGTGTCTGACCTCATTGAAGTGTGCGTCCTGAGTGGCGGTGAGGCCAAAGCCGCTCTGTTGGGTCTCAAACGTCAGGAGGCGGGAGAGGAGTCGCTCAGCAATCTGCAGGTCATTGCCATAGAGGCGGCTGGTAGCCTCGGTAACGTCCCTGAGCTGGTGAGCTAGCTTTTTCTCCATGATGGTGTTCAGCTCCGTCTCATTACGCTCCAGGGAATCAAGCTTTACAAAACAAAATATGACAAAAAGCATAACTGTTATCCTCAGAAATGTTAATGAGATTTGACAGAAAAAAATACAACATGAAAAGCTCAAGGTACTAAAGGTCCTGATAAGTTATTAAAATAATAATCCACGAACATATCCTTGAACCTAATATGTTGAACAGAACATCTCATTTTTCTGTGAATGTGCTCGGTTCCAAAATGTTTTTCTTTTTTGTGCATTTTAAAAAATTTTTTTTTTTTTTTAGCCCAGGTGTAACTGATGCTGTCATACATCAGAAGGTGAATCTCTGTTTCTTTTCCTTACATTTAAAAAAAGAAATACCACACCAATATAGTAAATAAGCCATTCACAAATAAATGCAAGCAAATATTTGCTTTAGTTTTATTCCACTGTTGTGAAATAAAACTCCTTCTTGATTTGGTATTCCTGAAAAATCCCAAATGCATGTCTCATAAACCATGAAGACTTATTAGATAACCATGAAGTTTAAAGTCTACATACAGCGATGTTGAGTTCGACAAATGGAGGCGAGGTGCAGTTATAAAGGTCTGGATCCAGCCACCCTCTCTCCACATCACAGTGCCGGATTGCTGCACCTGTAAGAGGACAAAAAGGAAGAATTAGAGAGGTTTAAAGTGAGCTGGGTTTAGAATTGGACAGCATTAGCGTGTATGTGTACTAACCTACAGAGCCTTTGGGGCAGGGCACAGCGGCAGGAAGGTTAAACTTGGTTCGAGGCCACCAGATCCCCTGAGTGATGGTCTTTGGACAGCCATCATAGATAACTGCAAGGAGAATAGCATCAAAAATGTTATGTATCAGGGTAAAGGCTCATGCCAATGACATATATATATATATATTTTTATTTATACATTAAAAATGTTTGGAGCAAAAACAATTTATAGTATAGCTTGATAAAACAAGCACAGATGTTTCCCAACTTAGGTTCACATAAAACTGTGCTTCCTTCTCACCTTCACATCCTGAATTAGTGACTTCAGCAAAGGGGTTGTCACACATGTTGCACTGGCGGCCGATCACGCCAGGTCTGCACTGACACTGGCCCGTCTCAGGGTCACACGATCGTGAAAAGGAGCCCACCGGGTAACAGTCGCATGGGAGGCAGGTGTCAGAGACTCTATTGCGATAGTGAAACTCCTGTACAGAGAAGATAAGGTCTTTCACTGACTGCACATTTAAACCCCGAAGTTATTGAACATAATGAGGGAGGTGTTCTCAGTTTATCAGCATAAACTGAGGAAAGTAAAAGAAAAGATGAAGGGACATGTGTTTAAATTTGTAATTAGTATCAATAATACATTATTTACAAATAGTGTTACAATTTCATGCATCAGTTTTTCTGGTGTCATGCTGGCCTAACTTTAAGTCTCTAAAAAATGGTCAAATAGCAGCAACATCTGTGTTTGTGGTTTACTTTTAAAATATAACAAAACAGATTTTAAATAATGTCACTGTTTGCTGTTATACCTATATTATAAGCAGACTAAGCATAATAATATAATTTCATGATATTTATATATTTATAATTATATAACTTTAAGTCAACTTTCTTTATTGCATCCACTAAAATCTACAGCTGTATCAAGGTAACAGTTTTTTTCTTCACTGGATGTGATACCTTACTATAGGGATGCTCAACAACAACAAAAAGCACAAAACTGGTTCTTGGTGATTACAGGAAAACAAAAAGCTATGGTTGCTTCCAGCAGGTCAGGTCATAGCGCTGCTAAGCTAACAGCTCTGTTTTTCTGCCAATGTCCAACCACATTAAACTGTTTAGCAGTCTGCTCAGTCATGCAGCTACTCTACAGTATGATGAACTGCTGTCCTCTGTTTATTATCGAATTGATACCTGAATATTCTTTGTAAAATGGGATCTGAACCAAAATAATCTCAGCTTTACAGCAACAAGAGAAGTTACAAGTAAACTTACAGACATTCTAGAGTTCAAGCATCATTTATTCTTAGAACTGGAAGCTAAATCTATAGCTCTCATACAGTATTTGTGACATACTTAGAGAAGAAAATCATATTTTGATCCAATCTACATTTTTTATCCGATTTGGGGTTCAACTCACAGTTTGGAATTTCATGTGGGAAAATTGAATTCAATCCAGCACAATAAAGGTGAGTCATTTCTGGGAATAGGACCATAATCTGATTATCTAATTACCCCTTGGTATTAATAAAGCATTTTTCAATGTATTACAGAACTTAAATATAACTTATAATCTTCATTTCCACCCCATTTTTATCTTTCTATTTCTGCTTTTAGATCACCTGTTTTTCTGTTTGTAGAGGTTCAACGATTGTCAGAAAAGAATCAACTATAGTTTTCATCTGCAAACTCAACACAAAAGCAGCAATAATATGAATTGCTGATTAAATTAAAAGGAAGACCTATATCAGCTGGATTTATTTGACATTAAAGTACCACTTTCACAATTCTTAAAACGCAGCTGGAAGTGAGGGTCATTATTATGGAAACCCTGGACAGTACAGAAACAAAGGAAAATAAAAGCAATACTTAGACATTGATCGGCCAACTGTGTAACGTCTGGAGAGGCTCTGCGTCTCCAAGAACCGTAATTTGGTCGATAAAATATTTTCTTCAGGGATGGATATAGATCCATCTTTGTTTTTTGCATTTGTGTGTCCTGTTTGTGTGTATAAGGGTCAGAGCTGAGTTCAATATCCTAGATTAAAGATTGTGGTCAAAACATCAGATTAAATGCAGGATAAATCTGGGTTAGGCACACTGGCTGCAAACAAACTTTTTAAAGCACATTTATAAAAAAAAGGACAATTATGTTAAAGCAGGACTGGATATCATATAATAGTAGGTCATGGTTAGTCTGTAAAGCTGTGCAATGTTAGCATTCAGCTACTGCAAAGATGCAAAGATTTCTTTATAGTTTTACTTTTAAGGTGAATTTTTCACCAAAGATTTTTATCTGCTTATTAGATAAAAAAAACTGCTTTAATGCAAGTTTAGTTTAAAACTTGTTTTGATTTAGCTTTAGCTACCGTGTAAATAATAAATCACTTATGTTTCTTTTTGCCTACCTCTCATCTTTATCTATACATGTATTTATATATATATATATATATATATATATATATATATATATATATATATATATATATATATATATATATATATATATATATATATATATATATATATATATATATATATATATATATATATATATATATATATATGTATATATACATATATATATATACACTATATTGCCAAAAGTATTTGCTCACCTGCCTTGACTCACATATGAGCTTAAGTGACATCCCGTTCCTAATCCATAGGGTTCAATATGACGTCGGTCCACCCTTTGCAGCTAGAACAGCTTCAACTCTTCTGGGAAGGCTGTCCACAAGGTTTAGGAGTGTGTTTATGGGAATTTTTGACCATTCTTCCAGAAGCGCATTTGTGAGGTCGCACACTGATGTTGGACGAGAAGGCCTGGCTCTCAGTCTCCGCTCTAATTCATCCCAAAGGTGTTCTATCGGGTTGAGGTCAGGACTCTGTGCAGGCCAGTCAAGTTCATCCACACCAGACTCTGTCATCCATGTCTTTATGGACCTTGCTTTGTGCACTGGTGCACAGTCATGTTGGAAGAGGAAGGGGCCAGCTCCAAACTGTTCCCACAAAGTTGGGAGCATGGAATTGTCCAAAATGTCTTGGTATGCTGAAGCATTCAGAGTTCCTTTCACTGGAACTAAGGGGCCAAGCCCAGCTCCTGAAAAACAACCTCACACCATAATCCCCCCTCCACCAAACTTTACACTTGGCACAATGCAGTCAGACAAGTACCGTTCTCCTGGCAACCGCCAAACCCAGACCCGTCCATCAGATTGCCAGATGGAGAAGCGCGATTCGTCACTCCAGAGAACGCGTCTCCACTGCTCTAGAGTCCAGTGGCGGCGTGCTTTACACCACCGCATCCGACGCTTTGCATTGCACTTGGTGATGTATGGCTTGGATGCAGCTGCTCGACCATGGAAACCCATTCCATGAAGCTCTCTGCGCACTGTTCTTGAGCTAATCTGAAGGCCACATGAAGTTTGGAGGTCTGTAGTGATTGACTCTGCAGAAAGTTGGCGACCTCTTCGCACTATGCGCGTCAGCATCCGCTGACCCCGCTCCGTCAGTTTACGTGGCCTACCACTTCGTGGCTGAGTTGCTGTCGTTCCCAAACACTTCCATTTTCTTATAATACAGCTGACAGTTGACTGTGGAATATTTAGGAGCGAGGAAATTTCACGACTGGATTTGTTGCACAGGTGGCATCCTATCACAGTTCCACGCTGGAATTCACTGAGCTCCTGAGAGCGACCCATTCTTTCACAAATGTTTGTAAAAACAGTCTGCATGCCTAGGTGCTTGAATTTATACACCTGTGGCCATGGAAGTGATTGGAACACCTGATTCCAATAATTTGGATGGGTGAGCAAATACTTTTGGCAATATAGTGTATGTATGTTCATTTTCCCTATAAATTTTCCATGCTCTATGGAAACAGATCCATAGGTTGCCACTCTAGACTGTGAAAGTGTTTGTTGTTGTCTTGATTACCTTGCAGTGACAGTGTCCACTCGTCTTGTTGCAGTCAGGGTCAAAGCCTTTATTTACATCACAGTGACACGGTCCACAGGTGGGAGATCCCCACCAACCCCGAGGGCAGTGGTGGTCAATCCTACATGATGAAAAAACAGCCATAAAAGAAGCAGAAAAAACAATATTTATCAGTCAAATAATAAGATATGTTGGTTAAGTCATTAAAAACAGGTTTTCACTAGTTGTCTATATTTCCATTCAAACATCGGAGAGCTAATTCTTCTGTTCTTTCTGTTTTGTTTTGTTTTTTTTTTAAATAGGAAAGTGAGAGATTGATCTAGGAAGAAAGCAAGTATTTACTCTCACCAAACCAAAAAAGACAAGATGCTTTGTTTGATGATTGTCTTTGATGGGAGAACAGAAAAAAAGAAGAAAAAACTTCCCTTACAATAAAAATGTTGATACAAGGCTTCCCTCAGGCAGAAACGTGTTTCACCTGTCAACTCATTTTATGTTATTTGTCATGATAGTTTCAGAAATAAAAACAACAACAAAACCTTCTCAAAAAGACATTTCACCTCAGCCAGACTTTATCTAATAAAGGAGAAATTGCATAAGTATTGAAAAAATTACATCAGCAAATCTTCTAGCTGTTTTTTTTCAGTTTCTGACATCCCTCCCTCTTACAATGTATGATTAATGTAATCAAGGGAACTTTGCATGCAGCAATATGTAAATATATGTATTTTAAGACATGACGCACAGAAAATATTAGAGATAATTAGAATCATTATTCAATCAACCTTCTATATTCAGTCTGAACAGATGTTTCAGCAGAAACTAAAAGTGTTCACTTTATTAGTGCCTAACCAGGTGCATCGTTATGGAAAATACTTACACTCTGATTAATTTTATGATGAAAAGTTGAAACACACACACACTGAAAGAATGACCAGATTAGAAGAAAAAGCATCAGCTGAATGGATTTCTCAGAGAAGCAAAGTGCTCAGTGTCAGGTCAAAGTGACTGCCATTGCGGGAAAGTAGGAACACACATAAAAACCAAGAGTAGCTTTTGACTTGTTCAGAGTCAGAGTAGGAGCTAACAAGACACACAAACCCTGACTGGGCTTAAATGGTTTAGACCTCAAAGTACTTCAGATGCTTCACACACCTCGCAGTTAAATTCAGGTTTGCTTGCTGAATCAATTAACCATGTTGGTGTGTGTGTGTTTGGACTTGTTTTTACAATAGTCTGGGGACTTCAATCTGTTTACAATTACGTCATGGGGACCTATTTCCTTATGGGGACTAAAGTCCTGGTTCCCATATGGTAAAGTTCTATTATTTGAGTTGGGGTTAGAGTTAGGCATATGTTGTTAATAGTTAGGGTAAGGGCCTGGTTTAGGCCATATAAAATTAATGTAAGTCAGTGAATTGTCCCCATAAGTCATGAAGACATGACCGTGTGTGGGTGTGTGTATACCTGTGCTGGCAGTACTGCCCATAGTGATTGTCTCCACAGTCACAAATGTATCCATGGGAAGAGCTGGGCTTGCGGTGGCACTGAGCCTCGTTTTCACATGGACTCAGGTGACAGGCATCAGTGCAGCTTTTCCCATAGTACCCTGGGAAATACAAATGAAGACTTTTCTTTAACAAAACAAACAACAATACACAAATAAAACTGGTATTTTCAAATCCCTAAATGTAACCCAGGGTGAAAACTGCCCTTAGTCCCGCCTTACTGCCCCATTGGTTAGAGTGACAGTCAGTCACACAGTGCATGCAGCCAATTGACACACCTGAGGCAATTATTTAGGCTTGCTCCAGCTTTCCCCAGTCAGATGTGAGGGGGAGAGCTGGAGACAAAGGAGCTACAGATCCGAGAAATCCAGTGAGTTTGGAGCCTTGGAGCTGCCATACTCTCATCTTTTATTGGAATTGGCCAGGTGATCCCTTTTTAGGGAAAAAGATGGCGAGCTTCTGAAAACTGGCTGGAGCCAGGAGAGCCTTAAGAATCACTCCACAGTGGACTGGTCTGTATCATTTCCCCCCTCCATCTCACCACTCAGGCATACACTCCATTATTCACTTCTTCATCTGAAACAACTTGCGCTGGGACATTCTTCAACTTAAATATCTGGATAATCCAACCATGGATTTCTGAATGTGTGTCGGGTCAGACTCTGGACTGATCAGCGGGGAATTTAAGACCAGTTGTGCACAAACAAAAGGATTACCACAGTACTGTGTATATATATTTTTTTGTATTTATTTTGGGTTCTATGTATGTTGTCTTGTATTGTTTACTTTAAATTTGTCTAATACATGGTATTGAAGGCAGTTATTTTGTGTTGTTTATTGATTACTGACAACGGCTCCAGTAGACGAATTCTAGTCTTCTGATTTTCTTCCATCTGGTCCTTTTACACTTTAAATAGTGCTACATTATTGGCGAGCTAGCCAGGAGCTGTTTTGATCAGTAATCAATAGAAAACAGTTGAGCAAAGTTGCACAAATAAGGTTCCTACTCACCAATTCAATTTCCATTATGGAGGTTTTTGAAACCCTTGGTCTAAAAATCCCTAACACAGTATTGATTGATGGAGTCCCAGAGAACCCCACTGATGAACTTATTGCTTTTCTTGAACAGTATGGTGATATCAAGCAGAGACTTACCATTGATTCATCTGAATCAGAATTTGATCAAATGTTGGTTGTTGAATTTGATTCTGGGTTGTCTTTAGCACGCTTATCTCCAATATTACCATATACATTTACATCAAGTGTGGGTGATAAATTTCATATTGAAAGTTTATCTGAGATTTATGCCTCAAAGGTTGGTGGTTTAAAGACAAACAAGTATTTGGATGATTTACAAGAAATTGCCAAATTGTCTGGAAAAAATTACACTCAAGTCCTCACAGAAGTGATGTCCCAGATACAGCAGTCTATTGCAGAGTTCTGTCCTGTGGTGCTAAAGAAGGCAAAAGAGGAACAGTTTGCAGATGAAGATGGAGGGCAGCAGCCATCAGCTCATGCCACAACTCAACTCCCTTTTCCTCTGTCATCCCTCTCACAGTCAGTTCCTCTCCCATCCAGCTCTGCTGTCTCCAACAGAGCTGAAGTGCCAAGTCAGGAGAGGCGGTCCACACCCATTTCCGCTGGTGATCTTAATCCTCCTGAGGTGCAACGGTACGTTGTGGAGCATGTTGTTAGGAGTGGGGACAGCTCTCTGCATATGCACACATCCCATAGACTGAGAGCATTCTCTGGAAAAGTCCCCAGGCCAAGTCATGAGACAGACTATGACACATGGCGTTCAAGTGTTGAATTAGTTCTTCAAGATCCCTCTATGTCACAGCTGCAATGTACCAGAATAATTCGTGACAGTTTACTTCCACCTGCCTGTGATATAGTGAAACATTTGAGTCCTGACACATTACCAAAAGTATACCTGGAACAACTTGATTCAGCTTATGGAACTGTTCAAGATGGAGAGGAGTTGTATGTTAAATTCATGGACACCTATCAGGACAGTGGAGAAAAGCCGTCTGCCTATTTGCAGCGTCTGCAGGTTGTATTACAGAGTGCAGTAAAGAGAGGAGGTGATTTGGAGAAGGACATGGATGCACGACTGTTGACCCAATTCTGCAGAGGGTGCTGGGACAACAATTTAATCTCAGAACTTCAACTTAAACAGAGAAAAAATAATCCACCATCATTTGCTGAGCTTTTGTTGTTACTGAGAACTGAAGAGGACAGGGAAGCAGCAAAGACCTTGAGGATGAAGCATCATTTGGGAACCACTAAACAGAAGGTTGCGTCTCAGGTCCAGTTTGCACATACTGATCAGGAAACTAACTTGTGTGTTGCTCTAAATAACATGACTAAACAGCTTTCACAACAGATGGCTGCAATACAGCAGCAGCTCACTGCTTTAACAGCAGGTCAAATGGGCACTAAGCTACCTTTTGCTGGAAGAGTTACTTCAAAGCCTATTGTGAAAAAGACTGTTAAAGATGTAAAATTCGGCATGTCTAGCTCTAAACCTGGGTTTTGTTTCCGTTGTGGGGAGGATGGCCATATCAAGCCTCGATGTGATAATGAGCCCAATTCAGCGTTGGTCAGTGCAAAGTGGAAAATATTTTATGACAAACAGAAGAGACAGGGACAAAATCCCTCTCCTACAGCACATTTAAACTAGTTCCAGTTCCTGTTGAGGGACGAACAGGAACTGAGCTGGACCAACTTTGTCCTACAGAGAGAGAGTCTGTTAAGTGTGCAAAGATGCAGACAAAAACCAAAATTAACTTACCAAAAGGATTAATCGGATCCAGATGTACAGCAGAAGTCAATATTGCTGGCCACAGCTCTCAATGTCTTCTAGATACCGGCTCTCAAGTCACTACAATTCCAGTTTCTTTCTTCAATGAGCATCTCTCAGATCATCCAGTGCATTCATTAAATGACCTACTTCATGTTGAAGGGGCTGCAGGTCAACAAGTTCCATATTTGGGTTATGTTGAAATACCAATAACTTTTCCAAAAGACTTTATTGGGAGTGAACTAACAGTTGAAACCCTTGCTTTGGTTGTTCCTGATGTGAGACCCGGATTTCCAGCTTCAGTACTAATTGGGATGAATACACTTGAAATTCTCTATGAAAAGTTTTGTTCCAGTGATTGTCCCACATTCCAACCTACCTCATACGGGTTTAAAACAGTTCTGCATCAGTTAATGCATCAGCAGAACTGTGGCAATCATTTGGGTGTTGTGACTCTCCATAGTAAAACTCCTGTACTTATTCCAGCTGGTTGCACAATGGTGGTCGAGGGTCGTGCCAAGCTCTCTTCTACAGCCAGTCAGTGTGCTGTTGTTCGGCACCCGGTTTCAGGCCTGCCGGGTGGCCTGGTTGTCAGTAGCTGTCTGGTTGCACTTCAAGCTGACTCACTCAATAAGGTTCCAGTTGCTGTTTCCAATGAAACAAAGCAAGTCATTTCCATACCAGCTTTAAGTATCATTGCTGAACTGGAAGCCTATGCAGGTATCATCTCAGAGCATAATGTGACCAACCACATGGCTGAGAAAACATCAACAGCATCTTTGAAAATCAATTTTGGTGAGTCTCCAATACCATCAGAATGGAAGGAAAGAATCATAACAAAGTTAAATGCTGTACCTGAAGTTTTTGCTCATCATGATTTAGATTTTGGATGTACCAAGCAAGTGAAACATCACATTAATCTTCATGATAATACTCCTTTCAAACATCGTGCGAGACCGATTCACCCACAAGATATAGAGGCTGTTCGCAAACACTTACGTGAACTTCTGGATGCTGGTGTTATCAGAGAATCTGAATCCCCTTTCTCATCTCCAATTGTTGTTGTTAAGAAAAAAAATGGAGACATTCGACTGTGCATTGACTACCGTAAACTTAATTTACAAACTGTCAAAGATGCATATGCTTTGCCCAACCTGGAAGAATCATTTACAGCTCTCAGAGGATCAAAGTGGTTTTCAGTGCTAGATCTGAAATCTGGTTATTATCAGATTGAAATGAATGAAGCAGATAAAGCTAAGACTGCTTTTGTTACTCCACTTGGGTTTTGGGAGTTTAACCGAATGCCTCAGGGGGTTACAAATGCACCATCAACCTTTCAAAGATTGATGGAGAAATGTATGGGTGACCTGCATTTGAAAGAGGTATTGGTTTTTTTGGATGACTTGATCATATTCTCAAACAGTCTTGAAGAACATGAAAACCGTCTGCTGAGAGTTCTAAATCGTCTGAAAGAGTTTGGATTAAAACTTTCTTTGGAAAAATGTAAATTTTTCCAAACCTCTGTCAGATACTTGGGTCATATAGTTTCAGAAAAAGGTGTTGAGACAGACCCAGAAAAGATTTCCACAGTGAAATCCTGGCCAATTCCTACTAATTTGAAATCTTTAAGATCTTTTCTGGGATTTACTGGCTATTATAGACGTTTCATAAAAGGATACGCCACTATTGCCAAGCCTCTTAACAATTTGACCCGTGGGTACCCCCCAACTAATAAACCCTCAAGAGTACAATCTTCTAAGTGCCCACAGTTTGATCCAAAGCAACCTTTTGGTTCCAGGTGGACTTCTGAGTGTCAGCTGGCTTTTGATACCCTGATCGACAAACTTACTACTGCACCGGTCCTGGGGTTTGCTGATCCTGCACTACCTTACATCCTTCACACAGATGCCAGCACCACTGGACTGGGTGCTGCCCTATACCAGGAACATGAGGGGAAGCTCAGGGTAATAGCTTATGCTAGTCGAGGGTTGTCAGCCAGCGAAAGTCGTTATCCAGCTCATAAACTTGAATTCTTAGCACTGAAGTGGAGTGTAACAGAAAAGTTTCAAGATTATTTGTATGGAGCAAATTTTACAGTTGTTACTGATAATAATCCACTTACTTACATCCTAACCTCAGCTAAGCTGGATGCTACCAGTCATCGTTGGCTGGCTGCACTTTCTACTTTCTCCTTTAAGTTGCAGTATCGAGCAGGGAAACACAACCAGGTTGCTGATGCACTCTCTCGTCGTCCCTGTGAAAATCCTGTCATAGATGAGGTTGCACATAAAGATCAGG